TCGGCGGTAATGATTGGGGGCGTCTGCAAACATGTACTTGAGTCTGTAGGCTTCGGCGAGCAGGAGTCCGATCTCTTCGTTACCCCAGTGTATCGTGGGCAGGTTTTGTAACAACATTAGAAGGCCCTGAAAGAAGGGAAGGTGCTTAGTTTGTGCTGGTTGAAGGCGGAGTACAGCTCCAGAGCAGGCTCAGGGCTGGCACGACCAGAGGCAGCAGCTCTCAATAACTTTTGCTCACCACGCTCGCAGGTCTAAAAGGCTCAGAGACAGCATTAAGATGGGCTCGTGTCTAGATCCGAATCAGTGAAGCACCTCAGATGCCCCCAAACCCCTTGAGATAAAGGCTGCTGCCATAACGTTACAGCCGGACACCAGAAGGCAAACATGAAGGGACTTACCGTGATCAAAGCTCAAGCCCAGGGAAGAGCTGGTATCTGATGTTTCATCATTTTTGATATGATATGATCATATCATCATTTATTTGATGGTATTTCAACCCTCCAACAGCTCAGTTCTCTGTCCTGAGCACTGAGGCTCAGAAGTTACTTTGAGGCAAAGATCCTGAGACTGGATGATCCTGGAGCCAGCTTTGAGATGAGGACTGACTGCGGCCACGCTGGGCTCCCAACCAGAGCAAATCCCTCCCCTCTACCCCCAGGGAATTACCCCCAGCCCCACGGACTTACTTGGAAGTCTTCCTCATCTAGGATCTCCTTACGCCACTTGATCAAGAAGGCGGCGCAGACGTACAGGTGGAAATGTGAGAATCCTTCTGGCTCCGACTGCGGACAGCAAAACTCTGGGTCAGCTCCTGCAGCTCAGCTGGAGCACGACTTCCCTGGACACAGATGTCCCACTGGGCCACCCGTCAGCCAGCTGGCTGTAAAAGTCCCAGGGCCACGCTGCTTTGCTTCCCTCATCTCCCCAGCTGCACGGTGCTGCCAGAACACCTCCATCCCCCCGCGTACAGGGAATTGGTCCCACCGTGACCAGCCAAGCAGGGAAGGCAGCGGGAGGCTGCGTACCTGGTAGGTGTCCCAGAGGCGGATGGTGCAGCGAAGAGGCAGCTCCCTCATCAGCAGATTGTTCATCCAGCGAAAGGCAAACTGCAGGTATTCGACCTCGTACTTCCTAAAGTGATTATGTACCTGCTCTGAAACAGCACATTTCACTTACATACCTGGGGACCATGGTGCCCCAGCTCCTGTGCAAGGCGCTGGCCCCAACACGCTGGCTTTCACGCACTTGAAGGCTGAGACCTCATCTCCCAAATGCCTCCACTCCTCGCCTTGTACTACCTGGCCAGCAAAACCCCATTCCTAGGAGGTTTCTGGCCAACCCTACCCTGCCCTGCTTCCATACGTCTTGTAGGTAAGCATCTACCCCTGCGCTGAGGGTGCTACTTGCAAAGGAGGCCTCTCGCTGTTGTCACCTGCTCAGATCCCCTCGTCACCTACCATCGATCCGGCTGACTAGCTCCTCCAGGGCTTTGACTTTCTTCTGGATCCCTGGCTGTGCAAAGGTGTAGTTATCCTGTGGAGAGAGGCCATCAGTCAGAAGCAGCAGCTCTAAGAGCAGCTAGAAATGACCAAAACCAGATCCCCAGCTCCACAGGGAGCTGAGATCACCACGAGCCAAGCAGACACAGCTCCTGAGCACCAGGATCATCTGCCTGCTGTGTAGTCCCTAGTCAGGACAGCACTGGTTGGACAACCACAGTGTCTTATTTCGCCAGGATTTTACCCACAGATTTAGCTCAGCGAAGCAGCAAAGTCTCCCTAATGCTAGGACACGTAGAGCACTCACCCAAACACAGAGAGATGACCGCACTGCTACGCCAGCAAGGGGAGAGAAACCTCTGTGGCCCCCAAAGAGGCTCACCTGTATCCCGTCCAGCAGCTTGCTCATGCACCAGAAGCTATCAGCTTCGATGCTCCGTAAAACATCCTGCGACAGGTTTGTCACGTCGAAGTTCTCCACGTCCTCCTCTGCAAAACAGAGAGGGAAGAGCATCAGGAGGATGGGGGACACCAGGCAGCTCACGGCACACACCAAGGGGCTTTATCAAGCCAAGGCAGGGCAAGAGGCACTACAAGGCTCCCTGTGTGATGTGAGTGGCCTACCTGGCACAGAGCACGGCACTCATGCACTGCCCTACTTCTCCAGGCCAGGCGAAGGGCTGAGGGATTCCAAAAGACTCAGTGGCCACGATCCGAACCCAGCCCAGCTCCCCAGGGCTCCGTGGAAGGGATCCCACAGCGCTGCTGCTGTTGTCGTCCCTCTGGGGCGAGGGATGTGCATGGACAAAGCCCCCGGCATGTGGGACCCCTCTTGCTAGAGCCCATCCCGCCCTGGGTGACAGCAGGTCTCTGCCAGCTGGCAGCACCACAGGGAGAACTGGGAGAGGCGAATCCATCACTGCAGCCACAAACCAGGGAAGCAAACGCTGCCTTTGGCCTGGGGCAGCACAAAGGAGCTCAGCTCCCACTCCCAGTTGGATTCATCAGCATCATCCCAGGACTGAAGCACAACAGAGGCACCCAAAAAGCAGCTGCCAACTCTGAGGACCCATGAGAAAGAACTGCCAAAGCCTCAGAAACCTCTACAGGAGAGCCGGACACAGTTGCAAGGATCCAAAAGCACACAAACATCGTCCAGGAGAGCAAAAGGATCCATGTTAAATCCAGCACGGAGCCTGAGAGCGGGGCCACGCAGCAGAGAGACTGCTCAGCTTCGCAGAGCCTCTCCTATTCCTCGAGCCCAGCTGACAGGAGAGCTCCAGCAAGCAGAAGCAGCCCCATGCACAGAAGAGCCTTGCTGCAGGGGAAGCAGAGATCTATGCAAGCTTGTTTTTCAAACCCAGCAAACTGGGGGTCTGAGAGCACAAGGGTTAGTGGCAGCCCTGTCCCCAAAGGGTACTAACAGAGTGCAAAAGGTTGCCCTTGCTTTTAAATGGGCTTATGAACCCCCAGGAAGGGCAAGGGAGAGATCAGATGCCTCAAGAGTGGGACAGCAGCAATGCTGGCTGGGTTTGGAGCAGAGATCACCTGCTCCAGGCTGGGCTCACCATAACCTGGAGGCTGTAGAGGGCAAGAGGCAGGGAAGGCAGTGGAAGCTAGGGAGGAGATAGTCAGGAGACTCAGGTCTGGCCCTCCTGGCTTGGCCGACCCAGCAGCTCCCTCCCTTTCCTCGAGAGCGCCCATGGCACTGCTGACAGAGGCCTTGGAGGGAGCTGTCATGCTGCTAAATCGGATCGACAGATGCCAGGGCTAAACTGGCCCATTTCCAAACCCAGAGGCTCAGAAAGCCAAACAAGCATCTTTGATCTTGCTTGGAAAAGATCAAGAGAGGGAGAGGATGGGGCTTGGGGCTGGAGCCGGGCCACCCCCTCGGCTCAGATATGCCGCAGGGCAGCTGTCGCAGGTTGGCAGCACTGTGAAAACCGCCGCTCACAGATCCTGCCCGCAGGAGGATGGCAAATGCGGAGCCAGCGACTCCAATGCTGCTCCCACCTCTGCTCCTCCTCCAGGGCAGAGCTCAGCTCTGGAGCAAACTGCCACCGGGAGCTTTAGGAACAAGCAAGATCTTAACCCGCATTAATCTGGCAATCTTGTACTGCAGAAAGAGCAGCATTTTCCAGCTGCAGCTCATCATCCAAAACTATCACTCTTCTGCTGGCTTCTCCGCAGCCACTCTCAAATATTCCAGATAATGAGAAAGGTAGGCAAAAATCTGTTTAATACCCATCTCCTTCCCTAGATAACTTCCCCCACAGAGGATGGGCAGGCAGAGGAGTGGGACAAGGCCACATGTGTACAGCCAGGACTGGTGGGGGAGGCAGGCTCAGCCACACAGGAATGAGCCTTGTGCAGAAAACCTCCCAGTGCAGCTCCAGGCATGAGGACCACGATGGAGAAGGGGATGTGGTGACCTGCCCAGGTGACGGGGAACACCCTGCTGCTTGCACTGGTCTGGGGACAAGAGCAGCAACCCTGCCAGCACCCTGGTGTCAAAGCAAAACAGTGGTAGGAGATCCCCAGCAGGAGCCAACACACACAGCGAGGAGCTTTGAGGAAAAAAAAAAAACCAAACAAACCCAGGTCTCTGGAGTGTGTGGCTCAGCGCAAACATCTGCTCAGCAGCATCACAGAAGAGGCCCCATGGAAAGGAGTGAGAGATTCAACATATGGCTCTGACAGGGACTGAAAGGGAGCCAGCGGCACGGTGACAGTGCCTGCAGCTGGGCTGGGGGCAGCCGGGACACCACTGCCACTGTCACAGCTTGCCCAAGGGCGGCTGGGGCTTGGGGAAAGCAAAGTTCCTGTAGGTGACAGGAACTCAGGGCTGACACCGGAGAAGGGACATCACAGTCCCACTTGAACCCCTGCCTCAAATGCCAGGCAGGGCATAGCTTGCAGCAGATGAGAAGAGCCAGGGCTCCAGCCTCCCTTATCACTGCTTGTCGTAGGGGAGCTTTAATGACTCCCCATATCCTGGCAGCTGGGGCTCAGTGCAGGACTAGATGCCTGGGGAAGAGTTAAACCCAGTCTCAACTCAGCTCTGCATAGTAATGGACAAATCTGCACCATGTGCAGCGAGCAACAGGCCCAGGGCAAAACCAGAGTTCAGAACAAGGGTGATGTTACAGCCTGAGCTGGGTCAGTCACGGTGTGACTAGTAACACCCGGGTACAAGGCTCCCCATCCCTTCATCCAAGCTCCACTTCTGCTCCTGCTTACAGGGAAACAGAGTCTTAATTTAACCATGATTAGGATTTAGTAACAAAGCCAGTTAGGAGCAAGCAAGATCAATACTTTCCATGGCACTGCTCCCCTCTACAGACTTGGTGAAATGCCAAACAGGTCCCAAAGCTGGGACAACCCCTTATGCAAGGCCTTGAATTGGGTATGGAAGCAGTCTCATATGTCGAGATGGGCAGAGAGCACTGGGAGACGGTGCAGGGGCCAACACTGACACTACCTGTGGATGCTGAACTCATTTCTGAGCTCTGCCACTGCCATTTTAAAGGCAAACAAAAGCCATGTGATCTGGGAGTGACTCGGTGCAGCAGGAGGGGCTGCGGGACCTGAGCTGGGAGGCAGTTCTAGCAGGACTGACAGCTCAGCACCCTGTGCTTGCTGGGCCCTCTCTGATCACCTGGAAAAAGGGGCATGCAGTTTCCTCTGGCAGGTATCGAAGCGTCATCTCTTGCCGCAGCTCCCCAGATGCCAGACGGCCTCTCTCTACCCTCACCGCTCAAGCTCTGCCTCCCCGGCGGCACTGGCAGCCTGTGCCCGTCCCACCCGGAGGGCAGCAACAGCAGGCTCAGCTGCTCCTGCAGCCTTGACACCTCCCTCGAGCTCTTCCTCACAGCAGCACCAGCTGAAAACAAGCAGTGCTCAGCAGTCTGTGGCAGAAGCCATCGATCAGCCGGGAGGAAGAACAGCTCCAGCTATGGAGCTGGCAGTGGCAGAGGCCCAAAGCACCCATGCTTGCTGCCAAGTAGCCGAGGCAGTCGTGTTCGTGCCAGAGGCCGGTAGAGCATCACAGGAGAAGGTGAGCCAGCTTGCCACGCTTGGGGAAAGGGGAAAACACAGCAGTTAAATCTATCCCATCTGCCAAGGGCTCACAGCAGTCTGCACAGCACCTGGAAGGAGCACAAAGATTTTTGCATCTAGACTAGGTGCAAGTACAGCAAAAAGCACCGGGTCCTGACTAGTACTGGAGAAGCGGGCAGGGGAGTTCAGACACGGGGAATGGAAGCTCTGGGAAAGAGCTGCTTCTCCCTGCTTCAGCCTAGGTGGCATTTTCTGGATTCAAGGCAATGCTTGGAAAGAAGAGGGAAGCAATATCAATGGGACCCTTCCAGTCAGGCCAGGGAGATGGCAAGTTAATAACAGGGTCATCCAGTTCCCTAAACATCCAAAAGAAATAGCTTCCTGCAAATGTTTTTCACTCACTGATCTGTTTACCTCCTTCAGGACCTGGACAGGCATACACCCTTCCTCCCCGCACCTTCTACAGTGAGGACAAAAAGCCACCAAGTCAAAAGACACAGCAGCATGGCCCTGCTCCCAAATCCAGCCAAACTACTCTAACTACTACCCCGAGCAAGCTGCGTTTAATCCCTCTGCACACAAATTTTTTTTCTGCTGAGTGTTGGTTCGTTGCTCGTGTCAACTTCAGTAAAAGGAAGCTGCCAAATTGTTCCCTGAATGTGTTTGATAAGCTACAAACCATCCCCTACCCAAACCACCCACCTTTTCCCCATGGACACGCTCTAGCCCTTGCCAGGAAGCCAGTCAAGCCCTCTGAGGAATGTTTGAAGCCTTGGTCTAGTAACTGATATATAATGGAGACACCATCAACCATCAGCTGATGAGCACCAAGGAGATTTTAATTTATCTGTAGAAAAGTTGATTCGTTGTCTGCAAATGCAATGCCTGCCCAAAGCATGGGATGATTAGTAGGCATGGTGGTGTTGGGTTGATGTTTGGACTGATGATCTTAGAGGTCCTTTCCAACCGTAATGATTCCTAGTTTTACTTTAAAAAATAATCCAGCCACCAAGCCAGGAAACATGAAATTAATTATTAGTCTACCCTTAATTGGTCTAGTGGTGGACTTGGTAGCGTGAGGTTAATGGTTGGACTTGATGATCTTAAAGGTCTTTTCCAACCTAAACGATTCTATGATGGGTTAGAAGTCTACAGTGAAGTTGGAGATGGGGACCAGCCTGTTATCAGAGGTGAGACTGTGATGTGAGAAGCCACCAGATTGAACAGGAGAAAACCAGAGTGTCAGCCTGGCCTTGTGCTGAACAGCTAACCAAAGTCAACAGCTTGTGAACTCCCACCTCCGCCTGTCAGCTCTGAATCACACGCGCACACGACAGTCCCCGGAGAGCTGCGATGGTTCTGCTGAGTCAGCTGCTGCGGGAGGCAGCCCTTCAAAGGCTCTAACACACAGGGAAGATGGTGGGCAGCGAAGCAGAGGAGCCAGCTGGCAGCACAGTGGGTCCCTTCTAGCATCTTGCAGTCAAGAAAACACCCGTTCTGAAAGGAGAGTAGGGGCAGCAAACCCAAGATGTTTGAGGCTGGAGCCAGTGCTGGTGCCAACTTCCCAGAGCCAGCTTTCAAGGCAAGGCAAGGGAAACTTTTCCAGGCCAGTTGTACGCACACCTTTGAGTGTGGAAGTACCCTCAGATGACACACAGGTGTATGAGCCCTCAGCGACTCTGTGGGCAGGGGCTGCCTGAGCCATGCAGATTGTCCCCTTTCCCAAGGGGGATACAGCTTGAAGAATACAAGCAGAATTTCCTTTGAACAAGAGGTTCCCCACGGAAAGGCGAGTTGTCCCTTGGCATGGGCTGCGCAAGGATTACCAAACTGTGCAAGGCCTCTTCTGGCTCTCCTGCTGCAAGGACTTGGGTGCAGCAGAGACTTGGCTGATCCAGGGATCCTGAGAATTCATGATCCAACACAAAGAGCCTCCAGACCTGCCCTGCCCGGCACCAGCTCGCAAAGGCAGCTGTAGAGAACAGCCAAGGCTCCAAACCAGTGACTTAAATCCGATTGCAAAAGGGGTTATGCGACACTGAGCCAGCTCTTTCCCACGTACATTCAAGGCAATTACTGATCTTGTCCTTAAACTCTGACTGCTACACAGCCAGACCAGGGAGCAGGTAGCCACCGAGACAGCTTGTGACATAAAGGCTGGCTTTGAATCCCAGGCTCTGGGGACAGAAGGGGATGCATGATGTTGCTCGGCCAAATTCAACTCAACGGGTCTCACACAGAGGGTTTTTCCCCCTCCAACACAAGTTTCAGAGATAGCTGGAAACAGGAAGGCCACGTTCAGAGAGGAAGCTTAAGTCAGGGGTGAAAACAGCCCTGGAAGACGGCAAGAAGCACAACCCCAGCAAGAGATGGACAGGCCTGATGCAGGATGAACTCTGCAGCCACATGCAGAGAGTTGAGCCCTGACACCCAACACAGTACAGGACTGCAAGAAGTCACACCAGGTACCCGCAGGCAGCTCTGGTGCTTCAGACCAGCTCCCTTCCCGCACAGATAACTCACTGTGCGCACAGCTCTGCTTCTGACCTAACAAATGGATCCTGAGCAAGCAGCCTCTGCCAAGACTAAGTACCGTCAATGCCGCTAAAGTAGTAAGGCACAGGAAAAGCCACTCAAAGGGAACCTGGTCAGACCCGACCCGACCGGCTCTTAACCTCCCAGGAAAGGGAACTCATTCCAGCTGGTAGCAGAAGCCACATTTTGTGCCTTCTCCTTCAGGCTGTGAGGAGCAACAGCACTTCCTAGGGATCAATCCTGACCACACCGGCTACCACAGTGGAAACCGAGGCAGCTGACCTCTTTGCAGCATCCTCAGAAGAGGCAGATCAGTACTAGTTTACAACGTCTTAGCTAGCTAGTGGAAGGCTTCCACCGACTTCAACAAGCTTTGGATCAGACTTTAAAAATATTTGTTCAACAGGATTTCTCTGTCACTAATACAGTCTTATAAATTCCTCTTTTCTTCTCTTTACAGTGAAAACTAAGAGCCTTTAGACATAGGGATTACAGCAGCCCAGTTAAGGTCAACCCCAAAACATGGCTAGAGCTGCAGAAAGAATAAAAATGCTACGGGTGGAAAGGACTTGATCTCCGGCTAAAAGCAAGTGGCCGACAATTCTTGCCAAAAGCAGCAGGGAGAAGTCAATTTGCTTTCTGAAACTCTCAGCTTGAGAAACACACCTGTACTAGCAGCACGGGACAGGAATCTTTATTGAAATAGTTTATTTTACATTCTCAGCAGGGTCTCTTTATCCTTTACTCATTCCTCCCAGAACAAGCACTAGCTCCAAGCCCAAGGTTTGAGAGCAAGACCCTCCCCTCCCCCAACTCCGCGTATCAGGGCTTTGCCTAAACTCCCTCAGCGCCTAAAAGACCCCATTCTCCTCCAAGCTGTAAGGATGTTAAGTACATTCAAATGCAAATCCACCCTCAGCACTTCAACTTCCGTGGAGCTCAGCAAGGTTACGAAACTGAAGTCAATTCAACCAGGCAGCAAAGATACAGTAAGAGGTCAAGATGCATCTCCAGCCTGGCACAGACACTGAAGGAAGAACACATCATCCCCTCTAGCAAGGCAAGCTTTTGTGATGCCAGCACTTCACACCATTTCAAACACCGTGGTTGAGAGGCAGCACCGTGCTTCAAACAGCAAACGTCACTTACCAACATACTCAGAGAGGAACACAACAAAGAACGGAGTGACCAGGTCATTGATTCCCTGTACATAGCCGCTGGCTGGGTGTCGAATGGCCCAGATAAACAGGATTCTTTCAAAGATCTAGGGAAGAATGAGGGAAAGCAGGTACCTGCATTAGCCGTGCACAAAGGAAAGGCAGAAAAGCATAACTGCTAAGTTCAGGGAGCGGAGATCATGCGCTGACAGGCTTTTCTGCTGCAGTACGGGTAAGATAAGAAGCATACAAGTCCTAGGAGAGACTCCTGTATGACCCACAGATCCCCACACAGGCCAGCCCACACTTCACAGAACAAGGCAGCCCAAGCTCCTCATCAGAGCCTCTGCCTGAAGAAAATGCAGACCCAACTTTTCAAGATCCAGGTGGCTTAAGACCCTTCCACCCACAGGACAGGGCTGCCTATTAGCAGAGCAGCACGCCTTGCTGAACATCACGTGGAAAGCTAAGGCTGTTCTCTGTTATCAGCACAGCACTCGCAGCAAAACATCACAGATCAGGATAGTTCCCAAGAGAGCAGCCTGCCCCCAACAACCAACATGTTATTTCCAGACTGCCCCAGCCCCAGGACACCATGCTCTGACATACCACACGCACACGCTGAGCTTGCTTCCAAAGAGGACAGATGCCCAAACCTCCTGGCCACCTCTCAAACCCATCCCTGCCCAGGTTTCTCGCATACTGCTTCGCACAAAAGAGGCTTTGTAGCAAAACAGAACTGATCTCCTGTCTGGTTCAAATGCCTTCAATCTGTCTCAAAACAAAAGCTTCAGGTCTTTTACCAACTCTTGGCTACACCTCGCCACAAAAGGGCTGATCTCATGACCCCTGAGCTCCAAGTTGGATGTCTTTCAGAAACATGGGACAAGACCAAACAGTTTCAGCAGGTATTTGCATCAGGAGCTGTCAGCCAGGGAAGTTTCCCCGCAAAGCTAACTCACTAGTGGCAGTCCAACTCCACACACCCCCCCCAGCAAATGTGGGGCAGGAGCTTCACTCCCCCTTACCTCCTGGACGAGCGGCTGCTGGAAGAGGGGGATGAGTGGGTTGGTCCTTGGAATGTCGATGTGGATCTGGAAGAGAGCGTGGGTTACACACACCAGCCATGCTTTTCAGGGGCACAATAACTCCTCACTGGCTAATAGAGGGGAATCCAGCCCTCAGTGTCCCCCCACGTGAGATCTGTACTTGCTGACAAGCGCAGTGAGGGCTACAGGTGACAGCTGCACTGAGAAAATCATCTACAGTTTTATCTCCAGTCTCCTCTGCTCAGGTCTAGGCAGGTGGCCAGAGCTGGGAAAGAGCTGGGGTCTGAAATCTAGTTATTAGATCAATTTAGGGAAGGTTTAAACTAATACCTGTAAGAAGACGGACACAAACATGGCGCCCTGTCTGCAAGGAGAAGACTCCTAATAGCTACAACTAGAGGAAATCCTAGCATGACTCCAACTGCAAGAGGGAGGAAAGGGACATACCAAGGCAGAAAGCCAGGCAACAGGCAGAGGGCTTGTACCTGTCGGTAGGTGTCTTGATGGTGTTCCTCATTCCGGGAATCATAATACTGCTGGATGAAGCCAAAGTACTCCTCCCGCTTACGCTGCAAAGTCAGCTTTCGCCGCTCCATGTTTGCAGGGAGATAACCCTGCGGCAGGAAAACCCGTGTCAGGGCAGCCCCACTTCCCTCACCACAAACCATCCCCTGAAACCCTGCCAGTCAGCTGTGCACCCAGAAGCATCAGGCACAGAGACTCAGGAGCTGGGGAAAGAGCTTTCATGGGGTTTGCCTTTCCCAGCCCCTGATGCCTTTACTGATCTTGGAGCAACCCAACTTTATGGGATTCAGTTTCCCAAAACAGAGTGAACCATGTATTCCCAGCACCAGTCTGGGCTTTGTGCTCAAAGGGGATGTAGCAATTGCACTCCCCGAGCAAAAAAAAAAAAAAAGAAAAAAATCCTACAGCTCACCTGTGGGCTGGGCACAGGCACAACATCGCAAACCTGGTTACAGGACACATGAAGGTCTAGGAGCGCACATCCCTGGCTCAGCACATTCCCCCCAAATTCCTGTGTCACAGCTCCAAGTACTCACTGAGAGGAGACGCCACGTCACGGGCCGGACCTCTCTGGGCACACCAGGCCAGCTGCATTTCCTCAGCTCATCTGCAAACGGACAGTGGTGGCAATGGATTAGATCCTAGGCACGTCCAGGCACCACTACACCTAGAAGGAGAGGAAAGCCCAGTCTGCTCCTGCAGGCTCTGGAGACACTGAGCCTCCAGGAAGGCTCCACATTTGCAGTGACTGGGGCTGTGGGTCTGCAGCAGCGGGAGCAGAGATGCTTTCAGCTCAGCCTGGGCACAGGACTGGTGGCTACCGGAGCCTCAGTTCTCATGCAGAGTCCAAGAGCCCCCAGTGATCACAACCATCACTTATGAGATGAAGAAAGACTGGAAACAGACAGGCAGCTGGTGGAGGATGTAACCATCTGCCAACAGAGCGGTTTGTGCAACTACCCCACTGCAGGCAGTCATTTTAGCCACCCTGGAGCAGACCCGATTGCAACTGAAGCAGGCAGCAGACCCCCTCTGCCTTCCCCTCCCCACCCGCAGGCACCCACGTTCTGCCACGCTCACCCAGGTCCGTGTTGTGGCTGGAAAGGAGCTGCCGAAACTTCTCCAGGCGGGTTTTCTCCCTCACTGTCATGGGGGGAGCACCTGAAGCATTTTGGTCAGAGATTCGGGCGACGAGTGGAATGACGGGCCGAAGGGGAAGGGACTGCTGCTTCTGAAGGGGGGTCCGCATACAGGCCTCCTCTGCAAGGAGCAGACGCTGCAGTGAGGCAGGGAAGGAGACTGCACCTCTCCAGCCTTACCTCGCTCCTCTGGCCACTGTCAGAGACCTGCCACTGCAGATTTCACCCTCCTCTTCCCCAGCAAACAGCATGGCTGGCCCACTCCAAGGGATCAGCCAGTTCACAGGCATTTGTCACGGCTCTTCCATCATTTCCCCTCCCATTTCTCCTTCCCTTTCTTCCGCCTGCATCTAGACACTTAGCTGCCAGCGGATCAGACTTCCCTCTCCACATGGCAAGCCATGGTCAGAAGGATAGAGGAGAAGGGGCAGAAGGAGCCCGTGGGAATCCCAGAGGAACTGACCTTCAGATCTGCCCTGCTCGTCTCTGATCTAAATAGTGATCAAGCTAATTGCGAGCGCAGAGAGAGGAGGCGATGGGCTGCCAATGCCACCTGCTGGCAGCAGGGACCTGCTGGGTGACTTCCACAGCGCAGGCAGCCATCTGCCTGCAACAAGGCAGAGCGAGCAGGGGCTGATGCTGCCCACTTCCCTGCCCAAGCTGCACCAACCTGGGCTCTACAGGGCCTCATCCAGACCTTTACTAAGAGCAGCACACCGGGCCACAAAGGAAGCAGACGGTGAGCAACCCCAGGCAAGAACTTAACAGATCTCCAAAATCCCTTAGCACCCAGAACACAGGATCCTCCAGGACAAACATGCCTGTATGCAGGGTACTGAGCAGCAGAGGAGACTGAAATATTAAGGCCAGGACTCCAAAAATGGCTCCTTGGAGTGCAGCATACTACAAGGAGGCGAAAGGCTCTGTTGGGCTTACAGGCTGCACCTCTTGCCCATAACATGCGAGTAGCAGCAAGCGGCTGAGTTCAGCGGTCAACCAGGAGAGCACCGGAGCGGGAGGCTGCTCCTGAAGCCTCTTACCAGATGTCCTGGAGAGCTGAGCCTCGCTGCTGGACTTGATGACCTTGCAGTTGGTGGGCATGTCGCTGAGAGAGGACTGGGCCCGCTCGGGTTTTGCCCGCAGCTTGCTGTGGTTCTCCAGAACCTGGGCTGCCGTGGCCTTGGCCACTTTAGAGTTCAGAGTTTGCAAAGAAGAGGAGGAAGAGAAGTCCTCATCTTCATCATCACCAATGTCCCAGGCATCACTGGTATTGCGGGCAAACTCGTGAAAGCTGGAGGCCTTCTTGCTTTTCATAGGCAGCGCGTTGGCCTTGGAGCGGTCCTTGATGAAGCTGGGAGCCAGAGAGAAACAGTATCAGAGCAATGCTGTCAGATGAGTCCATTTTCTTCCCTTCATCCTCACTCCAATCAGCCAGTCTTTTTCCAGTTTCCCCACTCCTCCTCCCAAACCCAAACAATATGTTAAGTCCCTCCAGGCTGCCCAGTGCCGGGAGGCAGAGCCCGAGCTGCTACGATGGCAGGGCACGGAGGCCACAGTGCCAGCAGCAGCTGGAGAGGAGCCAGGCTTCCCAGCTCAGAAGGGCAAAGGGGAGAGACGTACAATTCCTTTAGCTCCACCTCCCCCCACCTTACAGAAAACAGGTAGATTAACACCCAAAAAAAGTCTTGCGACCTGGGCAGAGGCATGTCAGAGGTTAGAGGGAGCCAGTCTGTGCTCGTGGACGCTCCCAACACAGCTGCGATGGCTCCCAGCAGACAGACCAGCCCGGTTCTTTCCTCAGGCACAGGGGCCTTCACATTTACCCTTAAGCTACAGGAGTCAAAGTCCACCACCTGAAGCGTCACAGAAAAGAGGGAACCTTCACCGCTACACAGCACGAGATAGAGACAAGGACGCAGTTCAGATCAGCTCTGCCTTTTCCTGCTGGGAAGGGTGCTGCAACTGCAGCCTCGCAGCTGAGGGCAGCTTTACCTCCCCTTCCCTTAGTTCTTCTGTCTCCGAAGGGGAGCAGAAGGCTCAGACACCATTGCTAAAAAATACATCCGTCTCCTTTGATGTGGCTGGTCCAATATGGATTTCTGGCCATAAAGAGTGCCAGCAGGTAAGCTTTTCTGCAAGCTTTTACAGAGCTCAAGATAGCACTGCATGCCACTGCTGCCCTTCTCTGCTGGAACATCACAACGCCAGAGGATGCTGGAGACCTCCACCCACTGCAGGACTGAGCCAAAAACCTGCAAAGCCTCGAGGCCTGCGTCTCTAGAAGATAAACACTTACTTTTTGGTGAGCTGGGGATCCAGCGGAGGATGCTGTGCTCCATACACAGGTTGAATGCTGCAGGAAGAGGACAAGAAAAAATAGAAATGCAAAAATCCACAGAGCACCCACGAATAATCTCCTCAGCCTAGACTGGGGTCACACTTCTTGCCTGCTGTCGGGAGCTGAATACAGACCAAAAGCAACTTCAATAACCTTCTGTCTTCAAAGCTTTAGATGCAAAGTGCCACATTCAGCTGAAGATTTGTTCTTTGCAGCAGCAAAGAGAAGCCTTGTTTAAACTCTTAGGCTCTCACCAGCCTGAGCCAGGATTTGAGATCTGCTCTTTTCTGCACCACTGATTCACTCTGAGTGACCACATGCCTCAGTCCCCCTGCCTTATACGCTGACGTTCATTCTCTTCTCCATCAAGGGGATTTCCAGGTTTGGGAATTCACACTTCCAAGCCCTGTGGGACAGGGGAAGACTCTAACCAGTGGCACTGGGGCTCCTCCACAACACACTTGAGGGTTTGAACCCCATGCTGACTCTCAGGCTTGTTTCCAGCGCTACAGCGAAGCAGCGTCTGGTACAATACACAGTTTGACTCTGGTCCAAATCCCAGCTTAATCGACTACTTCCTACGTGGCCCGAAATGAGTCACCACGTCTCAGTCCCTCGGCTCCCCTCCCCGTGGAATGGGACTAGTGGGACAGGGAGCCCGAGGGCTGCAGGCGCTACATGGGGAGCATCACCTCGGAGAGGAGCTACTAGACGAGTGCTCATCACTAGTTTTACAGACTCTGGACGCAAGACAGGGATCGTGAGTTATTACCTCCATTTGGGTAACTGTTCACAGCCACCCCACCCTGAAAAACCATCTCTGGAAAACAAGTCTTCCCCATCCCTGGTACACAGCACGGCCCCACATCCCGCGGAAGAGACAAGGGGCCATTCAGAGCTGGCACACAAGGGACAGGCTCCTCTTGGGTCAACAGAGCTGGCCTGGTTTCCAGGAGCTGCAGATGGTGCCCAGCAGTAAAATGAGCAGAGCCCAGCCGTGTAGGAGGGGGACAGCAGCCTGGTGCAGCCAGAAAGCGCGTTGGGAACCAGTTGATGCTGGGGAGGCAGCAGCAACAGGACCAGCTGGCAGGGGAGAGATGCAGCAATCCAGGGCAGAGGCTGGAAACAACCACAGCACAGAGAGATCCTGGTGGTGAAGGCCAGCGACGGGTGGGCTCGCTGCTGCAGCAGCCATCCCTTGTGGCTGGAAATGCTGAAAAGGCTCACTGTGTTTACCCACCAGCGATCAAGCCTAGGAAAGAGTTTGCTGACTAATTAGCTTCTAGGAGTCAGGACAGCTATTAAGCAGAGGCACCCCCGTGGGTGGGCATAGCAAGCAGATTATCAGGAGTAAGAAAAACAACCCCTCGAGATCAGCGCTGCTTCCCAGTGACTCATGGCAGCTCCTTGCAGAAGAGGAGCTGGCAGAGCCTCTCCAATACCCAGCACCAAGCTCACACCGTCTCGTGACGGCAGTCACAATGCCGCTCCTCTCTGCGCAGGGATCCGCGTGGTGCCAACAGGCGACCGCTTTGATACACGTGCGAAGGCCTGAAGTTCACCAGCCAAACGAACAATGTGTGTTAGACACAGAGGAGGGGATGTGGCCGCCAGCTCTGGGTGAAGAAACCCTTTCCTGGGGCTCTGAAGCAATCAGCCGATGCCTTCACTGGCTAACGGCTAATACAACTGCAGAGGGTCCCACCTCCCAAGCAGCTCTTTTTCAAGAAGGTGAACCCAGGCTCCCCCAAACAAAGCATCCCAAGCTGATCTAATTGCACAGCTCATCAGCCTGTACTCCCACACGAGCAGCTGAAGATGACAGTCTCACTTCCAGCAGGCTACAGAGGCAGGGCTGAACACCACCGGCCTGTGCTGGTGAGCTCCAACCGCTGCATGAAGCGGGTTCCCCCCGTGTTTATCCCACCTTTTACAATTCTCTGCCCTAACCGCCTGTGCAGAGGGTGTAACAGGCTGGACAGGAGGAGCGCAAATACTCTGAGGTGCGCAAGAGCTGACTTCCAAGATACGCGAGCATATGCACGACTGCCAGACGGCAAGTTTGTGCTGTAGTGTCTGTGGTACCCTCGGTGTCTGATCCTGCTCCTTAGCTCACGTCCCTTTAGCTGACTCCCAGCAGATCCTACAGCTCCATGCAAAGGTGTGTTACCACATCCTACTTTTACAGGCGAGAAAATTGAGGCAGGGGAGCAATACCAAACCACCAAGTGATGCTTGGTAACTTTATTTACTCACTCTTGTCTGGTTTTCCCTGATGCAGCTCGGCTAGATGAATCTGCTGTCTCCAAGCTTAACTCCCTGTTTGACGCTGTCTTCACCTGACTTTTGCATGGACAGAAAGCTCAGGGCAGGCACTATCTCTCAGCAAACATGCCACTGAGTCAGGAGCTGAGACCTAAGCTGATGCTGTGCTCCCAAACTGACTGGACGAGTCCCCTGTCCTGTCTCAGTTTAAGCTCTTTGGGACAGGCATTTCTTGCAACCCATATGTTCTGGTACAATGGCTGTGGTATCCGTGTCGTTACACTGCTCACGTGGAGATCATTGCAGGGTGTGGGTTATTGACACTGCAGCAGAAAGCATATCCATGAAACCTCAGTGCCACTTCAGACACAGAACATATTTATTCCTAGTAGACTCTGTTTCTCCCCTTTTAAAACAGCATTTAAATACGTTCCCCACTGCACCAAGCCTGGTTGCCCATCTCTCTAAAAGAGCAGGAAATAAACAACCCACCGCACAGGTAACACACTAGACCAACCTGCCAACACATCACCAGAACATTACCGGGGCGAGAATTCCCAGTGCAAACACCACAGGGCAGTACTGGAAACATGAAACAACATTTACTAGTTCTGCCACCCTAAATCTACAGGGGAAAAGCACCAACTAAAAGCTAATAAAACTAAGTGACCAAATGCACAAAGTGTCATGGAAAAGGAAGCTAACACAGCCTCCAAATCTTTACAAAGCCTCCCTCTGCCAGCTTGTCAGGGCAAAGAAAGGAGTGAGCCAAGAATCTGTACAGGAAGATCTCTCAGAGCTCAGACAAAAAAGAAGCAAGGGAGCTTCACGTCTAGTGACCACGGATGCAGCACATCCCACCTCCACCTTGCGTGGCTGTGTTGCCCAAGACCTGTCGGTAACCGTCCCTGGAAAGGACCGGCACGCAGGGTATTTAGAGGTGGATATCAGGATATCTGCCAAGCAGCCAGTCAGGAGCAGGGGAGAACTTGCCAAAAACTTGACATTGGAGTGTATTGTCTGGGCAGGACCGGCTGCCTCCCAGACCGGTTCACCTAGTTTGAGCTTTCCAAGCCGAAGCTCGAAGTCACTCACTGCAGAAGAGAGATGCTGTCTAAGACATAGTGGTCTTAGACCAGCTGGAAGCATGGCTGTGACCTCCGGGTAAGGGATGGGAGCAATCGGGAGACAAAACGACCCAGGGAGAGCACAGCATTTTCTCTCCCCAACGAGCAGAAGAGGAGGAACGCGTAGTGCTCGTTGCTTTCCCTTTGCTTGCCACAGACCTGGATTGTCCCACCAACCTGAGGGAGCCGGCGCAATGACAAAGAACCAAGTGAAAGCACATTAGAAAGAGAGATTTAACTGGCCTAGCAGGATTTAAAGCCAGCTAAGCATTTCAGACCGCGTCTGCACACCAGGAGGGGAAGGGCAGGGTTCAGATAAGGCAAATGAGAGCAAACGTGAGGAGCACCAGATGGGAACAAGCACTTGTGAAAGCCTCCACAGAGAGGAGGGTGCCCTCTCCCCATGGGAGCCTTGCTCCCAAGGCCTGGTAGGGACCACCTCCTTCATCACCACCAACCTCTTCTTCCTAAACATGGCTTGAATCAGACGTTTCACTTGTTTCTCCCACCCCTGGGGGAGTGTGGGTGCCTCGACAGGAACCGGGACATCACAGCCAGAGGAACCGAAGCAGGGGAGGTGCACACAGAGAGCCCCCCCAGTCCCTTGTACTGAGCAGAGGTGGACCCGGAGTGACGCCCCGCACAGGAGAGGACAACGGGGGGGCACGTGCATTGGCAGGGGCACCTGTTTGGGACAAAGCTGCTGCCACCCAACACAACACCTCTAAGGGTTTTGGGAAGGGATGAGGTTTCTTCAGTATCTGCGGAAAGGAGGACGGTACAGCCCTGGCCCCGAGGGCACCCCGGGGGGGACTTTTAAGGCCCTGACCCCCTCCACCCTGCTTCCCATGGGGCAGAGGGTGCACAGAGGGGTCCCCGCAGCCCCCACACGGCCTGCCCTGCCCTACAGATGAGGGGCAATCCTGGTGCTACCCTTGTCCCTTACACAGGGGGACTTCCTCCAAGAAAATTCCCCTGCCCCATAGGCTGGGGAGCCCCTGGCATCCCCCCTATTGCAGGGGGGGAACGCCGTGG